CCCCAAAACCCCAAAACCCCAAAACCCCAAAACCCCAAAACCCCAAAACCCCATTTATCAACTCTCAGATTGGAATTCTACTTAATAAAAAGATGAATAATATAGAAGAAGACTCTGAAATTGCCAAACTGCTTAGCTCCATTATTCCTGACCATGACTCCCTAGGGTTTGGAAATATCACCAGATCTATGTGCATACTAGAATCCAACATGAATGGGAATGAAACAAGGAAGATCAAAGCGATGCTCATCCAGAAGATGCCCGATAAAGGTAAGCTTCCAAGGGATTAATACTTCTAGAAAAAATTGTACTCCTCGCTCTTCTGGATGTCTCAATGCAAATAATGAAATAAACAGCATGCTGAGATTTTAAAAAGAGACGCTATCATTCAGGAAAAATTATCAGAGCACAAACTGAAGCAAGATCTTTTAAAGATTCGAGAAGAAATAAACTCTAAAGATAACCAGGTGATCTCCGATATCAAATATGAGCTTAAAGAGAAAGCACAGAAGATCTCAGAGCTCACACATATTCTGGAGAGGAAGAACGATACTATTCAGAACCTCAAGGCTGAACTTAAGGAAATGAAAAATATCATGAGAGACATGGAGATATCAGCTAGCCAAGTAAACCCAGGAATCCAGTGTAACCAGGAAAATTCTTACTTCGACATGCCTAAAGAGGAATACAAAGAAACAGGGGATATTGACCAAATTATTGAGCTTAGAAATGAAATTGCCGAAAAAGATGAACTTCTTGTAGAAAGACTTGATAATATTGGATCCCTTTCACAGAAGCTGATATTATTAAAGCAGCAATTTGATAGAGTAAAATTAGATCTGGACAAAACTAAGCGCCACTTATCAAAACAAATGGAGATGCATAGAAAGCTTAATAAGAAATACTCTGAGCTGAAGAAAGACAAAATAAATAAAGATCTTGAAGAGTCTGGATTACTTGGGGACATTTCTTCCTCAAAAGAAGGATTTGATAATAGTAAGTTAAGCACTGTGTTTCTAAATTTAAAATAGAGATAAATTTGCTAATCTAACTTCATCTAGGCCAATTATTGAATATATCCTCAATATCATCAATTAGAGGGTCTGACAATGATTACTAAAGATACACTTTTTGATAATGATTCATTACATTCAACCATTTGTTCGCGCAAAGGGGTTTTGGGGTTTTGGGGTTTTGGGGTTTTGGGGTTTTGGGG